TATATATATATATATATATATAAATTTGCCATTATATTTATTATATAATATATATTATTTAAATGATATATAATATTAAATACACACTCTCGTTACTGTTCATAGAAAAAGAAGGAAGAAAACGAAGAAAAGGATCATGAAAAATCAGATGCTTCCAAATCAAAGACGGAAAGCGAAGGTGGTTTCGGAAATTTAGCTGGATCTCTTGGGATGGCTTTAGCTAGTAGCCTGGCAAGCAATGCCTTGCACAGCAACTCACACGCACAACAAGGCTATCCCGCTCAACAGTCAGGTGGTGGTGGTGTATTGGACTCTATTTTCGGAGCATTAGGTATAGTATATTTATAACTTGAATTTCAAAAATGTTATATATGTAATTTGATCATATATCTTGAGATTTCCTGACGAGTTATGCATATGAATAAAACATCTATGATTTAGCGAAACGAATTTGTATTCTTCTTTCATTTCTGTAAATGGATATATGTCGTGTGTGATTCAGGAGTCTTATAAATCAGAAAATCTCTATAATCACACACAAGCACTGGCGTGACTGTCCGAATGACATCATCGCATTGGAATTATTGCCAAGGACGGAAATATTTCTAAGATGAGATGAATGATTATCTAAGTTCAAAATAGATTCTTGATTGGATTTAGGATACGATATATAAATTTAACAAAATTTAAGATATCTATTTTATGTTTTTTTTTATTGTTGATATTAGGCGGTGGAGGATCTCAACAGCCTTCCTATCATCCAAATCAACCATCTTCTGGTGATGGTCTGAGCGGAACACTAGGATCTTTATTCGGTGGTGTTCTTGGTGGTAGTGGAGGTCATCAGCAACCAGCGTATCAACCTTCAGGAGGATACGGTGGATATCAACCATCAGGCGGTTATCCAACATCCGGAGGATACGGTGGCCAAAGTTCTGGCGGATCAGATCTGTTGTCAGGAATTGGATCTGCTCTATTCAGTTCGGCTATAGACGGTCTGAGTAAACGTGGAAAAGATGTAAATAACTTATTTTGATATATTTTCGATTTCAACGATGTATATAATTAAAAAATATTATTAAAAAAATTATAATTAAAAAAAGAAATTTAATAATGTTTCTAAATAATACTTGATGAATTCTTTCTGCGCAGAAATCTCATGACGAATATCGTTCTGGACCTCCTCCGAGTTATGAACCTCCACCGCCAACACCGCCAGCCCCGAAGCCAGCCCCGCATCCGGGAACTCCACCGTCTTCCGGTGGCAACAAATTAACTGCGGACGAAATTTCGAAGGGACTCGGCCTGGATGATTAAACTCTTTGGAAGACTTTGACCTGCAAGTACACTCATAGACGATCTTATGCTCTCTTATTGCTTAAAAAACGTATCTTCACGAATTTCGTTTATTGAAATGTGCTATACGATACTCGTTTATTTTTTGAAATCAGCGTATTTTTAGTTGTATTCATGGCAGCTGTATTAAATATAAACGCGAAAGAGTGCTACTCAATATTATATACGAATCTCATAAACGTCATAAATTCTTATATGAATATTAAGTAAAACTAGTTTAAAAAAAAAATCGCTTTTAAAGATTTTATAGTTACATATTTTAGATAAATCAAGATAGAAATCAAGTAAACACTATTCTTTATAAAGTTATATCTTCCATGAAATAGTCCAATTAAGAGCTATATAGGTATAGCAGGAAGTTTTAATATTTTTTAAGATTATATTTTTATATAAAAGTTTTATTATTTTATAAGAGTGGCCTTAGCCAGAGAAAGATATATATATAAAATATATGCCTTATATATACATTTAAATTACGAATGAGAGACATGCACAATTATTATTATATATATATATTTATTATTTACGTTAAAAATAAATATACACATCACATATATAATAAAAATAAATATACACATCACATATTAAAGTATATTAAAGTATATTAAGTTACATTCTAAATCCTATTTTCTGTATCCAACTATAATTAAGAACTTCCATTTAAAATAACATATCATTTATTTAAATACACTTAATAATATTTAATAAAATATATTACAATTATAATGAAGAATTAAGATAATCTACATATATTTAATTAAATGATTTTTATACATATTTTATCAGTCTTTACCGCTTCTAAATCTAAAATCTTCTCCCTTTAAAAAAATTAAACTTTTATTAAACACAATGTTAATAATGAAAAAGTTCCTGAAAATACTGAAAATACTATATTGTTCATGCTGATATTTGATAAAATATTATTAGACTCTTAGAAAAATATTGAAGCTATTAAAACAATATCCGGTTCATAACTCTATGTGTAACATTGTAAAGTTGCATTATCTTCGGTTAAGTGAAATATGATGTTTTTTTATTAACGTTCTTTATTGACGTTCTTTATTAAATCATCTACAATCAGAGAATAGGTAAACTATATTTTCTTTTTATGTCATATTATCCCCGCTGAAAAAATATCTTAAAGAGTGTTAGCTACTAATAAGCATCTTAAAAACTCCCAGCTAAGATAACATTTTTCACAATAAATTATTCACAGTTTTTAAGAAAAGAATTGCAAGCCGACTAGTTTCTGACTTCACTTACTTCCGGAAAACATCGCTCCTGTTTCCATTGAGTTTTCTTTTTCGTAGAATGCATCTGTGGCATAGCTATATCGTGATCACTGTTATATTACAGTGGATCCGAATCTGCCTCCGACTATCTCGCCTTCGATCATTTGTAGTTTCATGATAGTTTCCGGAAATCTTACAATGTTTTACATAAAAGTTTTAGGTGACCAAATTCTGATTCTTTCAATTTTTCATTATACAATGTGTTGAGAATTCAGACTTACCAAGAATTGTAGATTCCACACTTAAGTATAACTCTGGGTTTAAAAAAAATTAATCTCTCAAAACACCAAGTAATTTATAGTGTTTCGTCTAGTAATTTATACACTGAATCTTAATGTCAAAATCAGAATTTATCGATCTACTAGTAGATAATCCATTAAACTCCAACAATGTTACTTAAACACGTAATTTACTCATCTTTTTAAGTTTTGTTTATCGAGATAAACAAAAGTTTATCGAGGTTTATCGCCGCTTTTTGATACCTCTTAATAAATTTTTAGAACTGAATTGGCAAATATGGATACAAAAAAATATTTGTTGACATCATATGTCAATCTTATATATAAATTAATTGCATTAAATAAAATTAAGCTTGTTCCAAAATTGCTTTTTAAAATTTTTTTAATTATATGTATGTCTTAGATAACAATTTAAAAAAATTAAAGTACTTATCACTTTTTATTGAATCTTTTGCAGTCTAATTATAACAAAGTAAAATATTTTTTTGAAATTATATTATATACTTAGAAAACGTTTTATTATTATATTTTATAAAATTGTCTTTAAAAAGATATACATAATATATAATATACATTTCTATATTATATTAAGCTATAGTGATAATTAGTCTAGCACTTACGAAGAAAAAATATACATCATAAATAAGAAAAATGCATTAAAATTAATTAAGTCTCGTTCTACAAATTTTATTTGTGCGTATTCAGTCATGATCAAGAGTTGCTGTGGAAGACGTTGTTTCTAGTACCACGTTATACTTTTTCTGAAACATAAATCACTATTAAATCACTGTTTTATCACTGTAAATTAAACTGAGAATTCTTATTTATGAAATTTGACGAGAATGCTAAACATACGTCAGTCTCGGCTTTCAACGCCTCGAGTTCTAACTTCTTTCTTCTATTGAAGAATCCAATTTTTATTAAACCTAGTACTAACAGTATCAACAATACAATTCCTAAAATCACCGATAACGCTATTATCCACACTGCTATTCCTTGAGCTATCGGTGAACCCAGAAATGTTGTTGCAACCAAAGTAGTATCCGGTTTGTGACCTTCTCTTTGAGCAATGTTATCAGGTTGTGTTATAATAACGCTACCTTCAGTCACGTAAAATATAATGTCTTTGTGGTTGAGCATGTCAGCTATAATCAGAAAAAATATCCAAAATATATATTTTTTCTTATATTAATTCTTCTCTTATATTAATTTCTCATATTATATTTTATGTATTTCTTTTACATATATTAATCAGTAATATTATATTTACCAGGAAAACTTGACAATTGCAAATCCATCGTCACCAAAAATTTCGCTACAGACAAAGAACTTAAAAATGGACCCAGTCTACATGTGATATGTACGCATTCAATTGCATTACTTGTGCAGTTAATATAGAGTGTCCTGTTTTCAGATGGCACATTCATCTGCGTGTTTTCTTCTATGCTGAATTTCGCGTGCGTGTTATTGTTCACGACGGTCGACGAATTCATCACAATTACATCATTCATGGATACGATCTTGTTAGATGTGACGGAAAGTATTTCGGTTTGATTTGAGTCGCTGCAATAAAATTGATATCCATCCATTTTGCCGATAGTATCATTGATACTGATAATCATTACGGCATCGGGTCGGCGGAGGTACGTCGGAATTTTCACAATCAACATTACCTCCTCAATAGGACTAGCACCAAACTTTTGCACTTCATAAAAGTGCTGAAACCTGATATTGTTCAACGGTTTCTTCTCGTCCTCGCGTAGGTATGAGTATAAGTTCTCTTGTGCTTTCCTAATAAAAATAATAATGAAATAGAGATTGCGATGTACACGGTATTTCATAGCCAAATTTAGAGGATGGATGATTTCTGTTACGGAACCTATATGTTCTCCGACACATTTTTAAGGAGCATCCGATCGCGCTGATAATAATACTAGTTTACGTCCTTTGATATTGTTTTTGTAAAAAAATAATTTAAAAAAACAAAAATATGGACTGATATTATTAGAAATCACATGTAATGCTGCCACGCGATTAATTGTGTACCTCTCTGCAGTCTAGTCGAATAAGGACGCAATGCATCGGAAAGAGAGAAAGAGAGAGGAGAGGGAGAACAGAGATTTCTTAATCAAAGTTAATTCTTTTGATGAGATTTAGCATCCTCTGAAATTTTTTTTACTGATCTTGAAATATTGTCATTGAGACCAACCCGGCGATTGCTATATCGATGTCCACGTCAAAATATACAGTAATGGTGTAACTATTGTCATCCCAATTCGCCTCATCGCTTTGAGTAGTAATATTCGCTCGTATTTCCACCTTCTTAACATCATACCTTACCATGCTCATGTCCAATTGCAGTGTTAACGTTTTCTGAAAGATAATGAGTTGAGTCATCTTTTATTCATCAATAGAGTCTACCCACGTACATGGAAGATCATCGTACATTCGTTCTAAGAGGATTGCCGATATCGCAGATTACATCCAGCGTGTTGCTTGCGTGAGGATTCTCCGTACATTCGGGCGGGATACTCGCTAACGTTAAGACCTCGGTGAAGATGCGTGCTCTGGTCTGATATGCCGGTTCACCGCGATTGTAAGCGTCGACGCGGAGAGTAATTATCGGTGTAGAACCAATGATGTATCTATTGCCCAAAGTTGAATCAGTAGACAACATCACACCGAGATTGGATATGCATATATTGTCTTCGCCACAATCTACGGAGAATGGAAGCTTTATGAGATCCTCAGTTTTCGAGCGGAGCTTGTTTATCACGACGCAAGATGTGCATAATGAGCTTTCGTTTCTTGCATGAAGATCATTTTCCAGCTGCATAGACACTGATATTTCAAGCGGGTCTATTACATTTTGAATATTCTCCTAAAACATAAAAATATGAATTAAATGTATTAAAATATATCAATATAATAGATATATAAAAATGTATGCACCATTAGATGTATTTCAAGAAGATGACTTGTAATCGTAGCTTTAAATAGCGTGTAATGCAATCTGTAAGTCTGTAGTTCGTCGTTATTTTTCTGTCCCCGATACGTAGCTCTGCCATGCAATGGATCAATCTTCAAGACTGCGGTGACTCCTAGAATAATAGACAATAAATTTGACACTGATACAGGAAAGCCGGTATATCATATATAATTTAAAAACAAATGTAACAACTTATAAATCAACGAATATAGGATAAAAAATTTATACACTGGCTGCTTACGCAGATATTCGGGTACGTATGTGCCATCGTAAGACATCCAGAGATCGATCTTGAAGGTTGTTGTGTTTCTCAACAATTTGATCTTTTGCAGGTACGTCAATGTCACGTTTACCGTCACAACTGGCGCGGATTTCAACAAAACCACTTCGCCGGATAGATATGCACCCACAGCGATATCGGAATGATTATCATGATTCACATCTCGAGGTTCCGAGATAGAGATACCGAATCCCCGTATCGTCGGCGAGAATCGCGAGCCGACTAGTCTTTGACTGTATTTCCGAGAAACACCGTCTCTGTTTCCGTTGAATATGTACACCGCACCGCCGCTCTCTTCCTCATAGGGTGCACCCACAGCGATGTCACCGTAGCCATCGTAATCGATGTCACCCAGACACATCACGGTGGATCCGAATTTACCTCCGATAATATCGCCTTCGAGCGTTTGCAATTCTTCTAAATTATTCTGAATGTTGCGCAAAATATAATTTGTTATAGAGAGCTGAATATGTTCTTTTAGTTTTCAATTACAAAGAATATTCAGAGCTCCACTAATTGTAAGAAATTCTTTAAATGAATAGCTCCATTAGATATAATGCTTTCTAGCAATTAAGTTTTTCCATGCAAATTTAATCGTTTATTATACACAAAGATTATATAAATAATGTTTAAAATAAAATAAGCAAAAGTTTAAAACTATATGTTGATGAAAGAAAAATCAAATTTAAATTTGAATAAAATTATTCTCATTAGATCTGTATATAAATAACATACATTGTGTCGCGCTGTAAAAATGTAGACATGACCCTCGTCCATGTCTCTAGACCATTGTGGGGCACCGACGATTAATTCCTGTCTTTGGTCATTGTTGATATCGCATGACGCTAATGCAGCACCAAAGTACTCACCATATTGTTGACCATACAGTATCGTTTTAATAAACATACGCTGATTAGTTTTAGGGGGAAAGGTAAACACGAGAACTTTTCCGTGTATATTAGCGGCTTGTGGCGCACTAGAAGCATACCAAACATCTTGCTCATTGAAGTAAGTACCCGCTGTGATAGCATACCCTGAAAATGATCGTGGATATATGTATATGAATCTGATTACGAGGTAAATACGGGAAGTGTATCAATAGCCGGACATTAAGCTTTTCAAAATGCAACAAAAAGGTACAAGATTCGACTTTGAAAAGTATATTTAAAATCTATATTATCTTTATAGTAAATTAAATATTTTTGTAAACGTAAATATATTGATTTATATATTTTTCCTATCTCGCTGTAAAACTTTTAATAATCAATTATAATAATAAAGAAAAAGATTTTGTTTTGAATAACTGGCGTATGTTCGTCCATTGCTACGTTCATCTTGAAACAAAAATAGCAAAGATATATCTTTACCGAAATAATTGTAACTATGAATCCGCGGCTCTCTAGCCAGCGAGGGAATTACCGTGCGCGAAAATGAACCATCCATTGGGGCGACAATTAATATTGCATCGCCTTTCCAATTGTAAATGCCTGGACTACCTATTGCGACATTCACGGTATATTGCGAGTTCATGTGTAAAGAGAAGCCGGCTTGTCCCACTCCATGGTTAAAAATGTTTATGCTGTTCTTAGTCGTGATTTGATTTCCAGGGATTGAAAGAGGTAAGAGATACTCCTCCGCTTGTCTTTCGAATGCATTAGCGTTATTAGCCAGTGTCGTGTAACAAATGCCGTTCATATACCAATTCGGCTTGTTGTCATTTATAATATTATTTATCCATCGCGGTCCACAAACCTGTTATCAATAGAACCACTGATTGAATAGTCAGGAAGTATTATTTATATATCTCTTTAGCAAATATGTAATTTTTAATTTATAGCGTATTTTGTTTTATTTAAATTTCCTACAGATTTATCAGAAATTACAGATTGCATACGTAATTGGGTCCAATCTTTTCTACAAGAAGATAAGTGAAGATCTGTCATTATCGTTTTCATAGTTTCGAATTTTTAGAAGTAAAAATTAAAACACTCAATTTGTAATTTTTAAAATTAGACATTTCTAATACTTTAGGCTGAGCTAGTAATAAATATTTATAACAGAAAATAAATGATTGTTCTTCATCTGAATTCTATAAACTTGATCAGTTCAGGCTTGTTTAATGTTCAATTTAAATATGTTCGAAATAATCACACCTCTTGCCAAATATTTTTTTTATAAAAAAAATCTGCATTAATAAGTAATAACTGTTAGGAAACATGAGCAATAACGCACCATAACTCTAGCCTCCGTACTGTTCTGCACAGCAATGGTAGCACCAATCCAAGCAAAATCCTTTATCTGATTGATCAGTCTCTTGTGAGGATGCGGACCGTTCCCGGTCTTATCAATCACCCACTCTTTGCATATACCATTCATCGCACACTTGAAGACCGTTCCCGGCTCTGTCACGAACGGCAGTGCATTGGAGTTTGCTCGCGGAGCTCCGACGAGTAGTAAAGATTCATTCACACCCACGTACAAAGCTACCGAAAATCCAAAGTAACTTCCACGTCCACTAAATACACGCACAGGATCTCTGAATACCTCCCCGTTGTGTGAATTAATATTATATGCCGAAGGATTGTGCTGCAGGATTGTCAAAATGAAAATTAGAATTTGTACACGAAAATACGTTGACCCCGTACATGCCCAAGACATTTTAGTCAATATCAGTTCGAAGATTTCGAAGTGTTCGAACAGGAGCCGTATCTGTAAGAAAACTGAGAAGACGGAGTTATTTTGCCGGCGGATGTGGTGAACACCGCAATGACATCACTTACATTAGTCAACGTTTATCTATATACAACTCCGAGAAGTGGAAACGGAAGGAACCTGTTTTGCAATTGTAGACGAGACACGTAATTGCAGAATAATAAATCTTTCACGCAAGGTTTGTTACGTTTTTTCTGTTTCTTCTCGTTTATTCGTAATCAGTTAATAAAGATGTATATAAATGCAAGATTAAATAATGTAATATAGTTACAATAATTCTTCAAAGTTCAACACATAGGAAAAAAATGTATACCAATTTATTACTTTTAATTACTTTCCACCGCACAAACCATATCAACAATACACATTAGCCGAGGACCGCATATACTTCAAGTTAATGCGGATTGTGTTAATTCGCGTCTACAGTATAGTTTCTGTTTCGTCGTAGTTTTTTTGTCTCGATTACATGATGCAATTTACATAGCCAGATCCGCAAAACGTTCATCTCACAATAATGATCAAACTAGCTGAGAATTACCAAGCACTGACAGTCGCAATGATATTATACGGAACAATAGATGTAGGATTGGTACCAAACAACATTGTTGTAATTTCCGTCTATTTAATCAGTGACTTGATTTATGAATGAAATCAACAATACATATCTAGGATTTTAAAGAAAATTTTGAAAAATTGTAAGAAGGAAAACACGATACATATTCACGAGAGATAGGATTAAAGGCAGACGCGCAAGATTTAAAATATGATTTAAAAAAAAAAAAAGAAATCGATCGTATGTTCGCATGATCAACTTAGTGTTATAAAAATATACTTCAAGGAATCACAGGTTACATTATGTACAAATGGAAAGGGAATGGGAGATCGAAGTAGAGCGCGTCAGGGAGAGCGGGGATTTTGATGAGTAAACGTGAGCTCTTAATCGGAAGAATCACTCGTGGTCGAAACAGTTTGAGCGTGGGACGCGGATCGATTACGATAGCTCCTCCTCGCTAACTCCTCTACTTTTTTCCGGAAACACTCTATACGTTTCAGTTTCTGCTCGTCAGAGCTATCGTCCGCGCCTCTGTTGTTCCGCTCTTTACGCGTCTGTTCGCTGTTTTTCCCTCCCGTGGATGAAAGTCCCGATTTAATACCGCTGTCAGGGGTACAAGGAACTTGAAGTGATTTGTTACTCGGTGTTGACGGTCCATCCTCGCGACGGTCTTTACTAGAGTTACCATTCACACAATTTTTCAAGCCAGCAGTTTTCTCTTCTTCTTCCGAATCGTCGTCGAGTTTTTGTCGTTTACTTTGGCTCTTACCAGAACTATCATTCGAGTGTCGAGAACTGTTTTTGCACTTTCGATGCTTCCGTTTGTGCGCCTTCGCGGAGGTATCCGAATCAGTTTTAGAATGTTTTCGTTTACTGATAGCGACAATGTCCTCGTAAACGCAGCTACTGCTGCTGCTGTAGCTCGAGCTCTTGTCGTCCTTCTCGATCGCGCTAGCGACGTACCGTGATCTTCGGAAAATCACCCCGGAACTAGTACTGGGTTGAGCCGCGTCAACCGGCCTTTCGTCGTCACTGTCCGAATCACTATTGACTTTTAACACAGTACACTTTCGCCTGGTAGATAGTCTTCTTCTGCTAGAGAGTCTGGTGTGTTTCCTCTTAACGCTCTTGGATTTCGACTTCGATTTGGACCTGCGTTTCAGGTGAGCGTTGTCTCCCTCACTACCAGAATCCGAAGGGGATCGTTCCATCGCGGCCATTCGCATGAGCTTCTTTCTGCGATTCGCTATAAGCCGAGTTATGCGATTTGGTGACTCTAATGGCCTCTCGGGAGCTACACCACCTTCTGATGCTGTAGTATCTACGATGAAGAATAACGATATTTTACATTGTTCATTAACGAATCTGGAAAAGAATAGAGTTAAAGTAAAGCAAAATTTATCCTTTAAAATAATAAGCAAACAACAAATGTTTACATGTTACGGTAAAAACAAAAGTATGTTTACGCATTATCAAAACATCCAATTGTTCAAATAGAAAAAATTTGAATTTATAAAAATTAAAATTTCTCATATCCACGTCTGTAATAAGATTTTATAATATTTTTTTATTTTGCTTTACTCAAACTGTATATTTTTTTTTTAATATAGAAAATTATTCAGCACCATCGCCTTCTGTCGCGCTATATGGCTCGCCCGTTGCTGGATTTATTTCAGAATCGCTAGGAGTATGTGGTGTTGGCACATCTTCGGAGCTCCAGCCTTCAATTTCACGTTGTACGAGAGAATCGAAAAAGGCCATCATTCGTGGATCTTCCTTAGTTGACTGATGGCTATAATCATGCGTCATAAGCTGTCCACTACGTAAAACTAGCCCTATATATTCATCGTGTGTGAATACTCGGCGTTGTTTCTCGCGCTTGCCAGCGTCTCTCTGAAATAAGATAAAAGGAACGTTGTTTACAATAGACAATGTTAAATCGTAACGGTTGTTTGAAAATAACTATCATAAGCAGCAGTAATAGGCTTTCTGTAATAAGCGGTTAGTCATCAATTTATATCACACTAGTAGTAAATCAAAATTATAAGTCATAAATCTTGGAAAACTTGCATCTAGAAATTATATTAAATTATGTGTCACAATATTTCAGTTAATCAAGAGGAATTCTCAGAGTAAACAACAAGACAACTACGTGATTGATCAGTTATAATATAATTTAAGTTATAATCGGCCATCTCCACGCCGTTACTGATTATTGATTTATTATCGCCTTATAACACATCACTGACTCACCTATAACTCGTTTGACTTCTAATAAATTAACGATTTATTGTAGAAAATCCCATTACTGACTTATAGAGCATCTACAATGGGAATAATATTGCGCAGTAAACAGTAAGCTGTTAGAAATTGATCAATCATAATCGATTTTCAACTGTGATTGATAAATTTCTTACGATTTACAATTTACTACACCCACGTAGACGGCCTTGTCTTATTGCCTCACAATACGCTACTGACTCGCTAATAACTCACTCTCCTGACTTTAAATTTGTTACTAATAACTTATTGTAGAAAGTTCATAACCTTCAATCCTCCTAAACATCCGCTTCCAAATGAAAATGGACTCCAAATCTTAATAATCTTTTCGACGCCGGACGATGCAAGGATGCAGCTGGTTGGATTGTATCGAACTTGATTGACAATCGATCTGTGACCACGCAACACCATGTGGGCGGATTCCACCCATGATTTGCCATCGGGAGGAGGAATTTTCCACATGTATAGGTTAAAATCATCCGAACCTACAAATTCATTGTATAAAATGCATATATAATGCATCGATTGTGATTTCTTTCTAATAACCATATACAAAATATCTAGATATATACATTCGAAATATTTTTCTCGGACATCATACATAGCAAATTTACACCTATATCAATTATACTTGCCAGAAAGAACGTATTCGTCATTCTCGCCAGCGAAACAGCAAGACTTCATGGTACAACTGTTATAATATCCCGTATGATCGAATTCACATAAGTGCGTGGAACAATCGACAGCATAAAGAACTGGTGGTAATCTTCTTCGTAAGGCCAGCAATCGGTCACCCATCGAGTTAAATCTGACGTTCATGCAACTTTGTTGCGGACTTCCATAACACAGTACAGGCCTGTCGATAAAACGTGACAATTAATGACTCTGGAAAATCGCGGATATATTATATTACACTACTACATTTCCAACAATGTTTCATACAACGCTTAAACATTAGCTACGTTCACAAAACGCACAGCTAAGTGAGCGCTTTATTTTTTCAGATTTATCATAGACTTCTAAAGATAGACTTCAATCATAGGTAATAATTATTGAACGTTTATTATTTATTAAACCACATGTTCGTTGTACTTACTCCAAAGGTTTTCGTATATCCCACATACTGACTCCTTCTTTAGCATTGGCAGTAGCAAGCAGTCTCGGATCCACGGGATTAAACATGACAGAGTGGAAGGCGCTTTTGTATTGTGCCAAAGTTTCCATAGCGTTGTTGGTACGTATATCGTAAATGAGAACTCTCCCGTCGTCGCATGCGCTGGCGAAGACTTCGTCATTGTGCGGATGAATGGACAGCCCATAGACGGGCTTCTCATGCAGGAAGATGTTGAGGGATTCGCCTCTGCAACGTCAAAACAGCGTCTCTTAATCTCCGCTGATTCTATTAGTATACGCACTTGACGCATTGTCGTGAAAGAAAATGTCTTACGTGCGCAAATCGTGGACTATGACTTGATCATCATTCCCTGCGGAGAATATCTTAGTCTTACTGCTGTCGTAACCAAGGCAAAATATATTGCTAACATGTTGTGATTTCATCACGGTGGGTTTGCCGAAATTATTTATCGCTTGCTCCACTCTCCATAATAGAACTCTTCTGTCGTCGCCCCCTGCGAAAATAGGACGTTACATGCTATTCACACGTGATTCATCTCTCTATTATTAGAATATATTTTCCAAATCTTTCTAATGTGGCACTGTGTCGAGCGGTGCTTCGTGGAAATATACACGCCCTTATCTGGTTATCTCAAGGAGAAAAAAAAAAAAAAAAAAAAAAAAAAAAAAAAAAAAAAAAAAAAAAAAAAAAAAAAAAAAAAAAAAGTGCGAGCTTTTTCAACTTTTTCAATGTGAGAATCAATATTTCCGACATCAACGGCGTGTGTGCACCGTAAGAAATAGAAAAGAAGGGACATGATAAATGCCATAGAATTGATCGGAAAATCGAAACTGATCCAATTAAGTTTGGACGACCAACGATCGAGGCGCTTGCAAAACTTCCGAAGCAACGTAAATACAGATAAAAATAATGACAATAATAACAGTTGGGAATTCTAAACGGATTACGTCGACAAAGTAATGATCGATCGAAAGGGAACGAAAGTGCGAGTTGCGGCAGTCCTCTCTTTTCCTTTCGAACGTGCGAGGAGATCGCGAGAGAGACGATCGACGTCGAAAATTAAATCGCAGACTCACCGGACACCAGCAGGTCGCCCTGGTTGGAGAACTCGATCGCGTTGACGCATCCATAGTGGGACAGCAAGTCCTTCCTGTAGAGGTTCTCGGCGTTTGCGAATCTGGCGTTGATCAAACTCCGGCAGTAGTCGATCTTCTCGTCGATCTGTCGCGCTAGGACGTAGGACAGCGCACTGCACTCGGACGGATAGGTGACCACCTTCCCAGCAGCCCCGTCGTCACCCTCGCACGACTGTCGCGGCAGCCGTCGACGTCGCCGTCGAAGGTTGCCGGCGCGGAACCGAACGCGACCGTCCGCTTCCTCGGTGGCTGGTGGCTGGTGCTCCTCCTTCTGGCAGCAGGCGGCGTCTTCACCGCGCGACGACGACGCCGCCGTCATCGGCATCCCCGTCGTCGCCGTCGACGTTGTCACCGTGGTTGTCGTCGCTTCGGCCATCCCCCGCGGACGATCGCCACGCGTTTTACTATCCTCCCCGTGCCCGGCGCGCGTGGACGGACGTTGCGCGAACGTCGTCGAGCGCGACCAGCGGAAAGAGCGAGCGCCCCTTCGGGATCGCGGATCGGGGACGTCGCGCGACCGCCGCGCTTCCTCCTCCTTTTGCCACCTCCTTTTTTTTACCACCTCCGCCTTCCCTCCTCCCTGGAGTGAGTGCTGTTTACCTTGCGCTAATGTCTACCGGCCGTGCGCCTACGAGAATTCTCTCGCCGGAGATATCGTCCGGTCGCACGGCTTTACAACAGCAGGAAAAGACGTAACGAGACGCGCGGACCAAGTGGTATATCTCCGTGTATATAATACGCAGCTGTACGCGGCTCGCAGACCGTGGACGTTCGAAACGCCACGACGCACGGTTCTGTGTGTATACACACACGCTCGGCTCAGCCTGTACCGGAAGTTTCACTACCACACTGTCATCGTCACCATCGTCGTCGCCACCATCACTACCACTACCACATCAATCCGTACTCCGATCAGCCAACCGTTTGTCTCGTCCTGTCGCTGCTCGTCCAGCCCGATCAGCTGATCGCTCTTTCGCCCCCCCCTCCCCGTGTGGTCACTTCTGTCGTTTCGACGTTTGCCCGGTGCTGCTGCTGTTACTGCCGACGACCGTCGCCGTGCGGAAGCAATATTTCTTCGAATCTAATCTGTCCAATGTCGTGTATGATCGCGTGCTCGCGCAAACGTCCCCTAAATTCATGATCGTTTAAAAACGAAGCCGGCTTTCGACGACGTTCACTCGTGGCGGAGAATCTGTTACGTTTGTTTCCCGGAATCAGAAGTAAACACACTGCCACAAGTCATGGAAACTGGCGGTGCATCGCGGCCTTTACACGTACTACTCACTGGTCCACCAGGTTAGGATAGAAGACCAAGGAGGGGGGGGGGGATTCAAATAAAATACTTGAAGCGGTGGTCTCATAAAGAAAATGCTATAATTAAATCTAATTAAAATAAACACTTGCTAATCAACTAGTATACCGTAAAAAAACGGGTCACTACATAACGTTACAATAGCCTGCTCTTTTACGGTATGGTGTTTTGGGCGTGCGTGTATTTTATTTATTTTGTGTGTGTGTGTGAGATACACACATTTTTATTCAAGCGTAGTATATTGGAAGGTCGTTCCATTTTACACATGTGATGCGCATAATGTATTATTTTATTCTTTTTTTAACAGTCAATGAATAAGAATAAAATGAGACACAGTATATGTATTAAAAGGGAATGCACTTTTTAATTTTACAATACAAATATATATACATTGTATATATATTGTATTTTATACACACACGCACACTCAAAATATATTCACACACAAAAACAAATCACTGTAATGTTACAGTGGCCAGTTTTTTGCAAATGAGTATATTTTGAGAAAAATAATTTCATATATCTTACATAAAATTTTAAAAAGATTAATTTATATCTATGTCTAATAAATAATATTTAAAATTATATTATGCATATTTTACATTCTTAGTATATCATTATTAATATATTTTACATTATTAATTAAGATACGAGTCATTTTTTTATTGTTGCCAATACTCAAGTACCCAATTATCTTGAATATTACTCAAATATTTGGCAAAATTCTATATTTAGAAAATATTAGTTAAATAATACAATCTATTTGATATTTCCACTTTTCGCATACAAATAAGTTAACAAATAATATTTTTTACATAGAATACTAAATATTTTTATTATTGCAGGTGATTTCTATAATAAATAAAAATACCAACATGCAAACAATTTTTTTAGGAAAAAAAATATAAGATAGTAATATATTCTCCATATTAATATTAGTTAGAGAAATAAATTATTATCGAATATTTTATAGGAATAGGTAAAACTACAGTGTGCAAAAAAATCGCATTCGCGCTGGAAAAAAAGGGCAGCAGGTTTGATGGATTTTATACGGAGGAAGTGCGAGATGAGAGTGGCTCCAGAATTGGCTTTGACGTTGTGCGAGTAAAGGATCCTGGAAATAGATTATCCTTAGCACGCATGTGTGTATTCGTTCGTGACAATAATAATTATAATAATAATAAAGTAATTGAATACATTGTATTAAAATTTCTTTACTGACAGAACCGTAACACATGGTCCAAATAAAAGCTCTCCCAGATATCAAGTGGGAAACTATCGCGTTTTCCGGGATAATTTCGAGGCTATAGCGCTTCCAATATTGGATTTGGACACTGTAAGAATAATATGACCTGTCCCAAAATAAATTTTTAATTACTTCAAGACTTTGATAACATCAATTGTATCGCTGTTACAGGATATATTGCTTATTGACGAAATCGGCAAAATGGAATTATTCAGTGAAGATTTCAAAAAGAAAATAATAAACATATTTTTCGGTTCTTCTAAAAAGGCTTTTGTAATCGGGACTATTCCGCAAATACATAAAGCACCGCAACGACACGCGGAATTGTTCGAGAAGTTACATGCGGACGAAGGAATTAAGATTTTGAAAGTGACTCATGGAAATCGGAATAATTTACCAGAGGAAATTATACGTTATTTCTCATAAATTTGTATCAATTAACGCACTCGTTATTTATTAGTCATCGCGTAAAATAAAATATCAATTTATATATGTACATCATAAACATTATTTATTATTAACAAAAAACAAAATATTAGATCAAAGAAGTCCCTCCAATCACAATAGATTTGTAAAAAAATTGTCACAAATAACGTGACAAGTAGTGATTGGTTAGAACATTGTACTACATATTTATTCTAGTTTTTTTGCGTACACATTTATGTATACTCTTGTAATAATTACTATATTTTCATTGAAATTCCACCGTTGATCGCTAAAGAATCAATTAAAAGTTTAAGATTTAGCGCTTCTCATATAAATATAATAGATTATAAAGTTAAAACTCGGTGGAAATATCTTCGAGATCAAAATTCTTTGTTCTTTTTATCTTTGCGCGCACGTAAATATCTTTAACGAGCAAGGTGGTCATAGATTGAGGGTACAAAATAGAAACGTTCTCTTCGCGTCATTTTATTACAAACGAACACAAATCGCCAGTGTTTGATGAGCCATATTTTCTTATCATAGATAAGAAGTCTGATAGATTTGCCTGTTGTAAAAATAAGCAAACCTTTTTCGCTTTTGTACCCATCAATATTAAGCATTCTCACCGCATATATTTTATAATACAAGAAATTCGATCGCGATCTCCTAGAAATAATATAATTATTGTTGCGGAGAAGCCTATGTCTCTTACCTTTCCCATTTCAATATCAAATATATTACGCACACTTTGATTGGACTACTTATTTCAGTTATTATTATTCATTTTTCAATAATATCTAGATGTTCCACTAGCACATGAACTTTAGTAAAGAATTGGCATAAGCCATCGGCCTTACGTTTGGATGAGGCTGTAATGGGATAAAAATTATATATAAAATACACACAATAAAAGCGCAAGCAACTAGCATAAATTAAAATAACTTAATGTGCGAATACGGTACATACCATTGCATCGTACGACGTGAAATAAGGTTTCATGTCACTACCGTTAAGTGTGATAAAGGCACCTCGGTTACCCATAGTATCACTGAAATTTAATAAAACATATTAAAGTTTATATACTTATAAACTTATATTAATCTTCAACTATAGCTATGAAAACTAATCTAAGTTTTAAAACGTTCTCATTAAACTATAGATACAAGTAAACTTCCGCCTTAAATCCTGTGTCCACGATGCTAGAACTCGGTCTGAGTTCTTGGATCTAGGAATGTATAACTATAACATATATATAGTTTTTATAGAAAAATGGCAAGTTGATTGACTATACATTTCTCGGTCCAAAAGTTACGATAATTAATAAAGCAAGATTCAGAAATTTTTTTATCTAAAATTTAAGACTTTATAAATACCAATCATATAATTGTCTAAAAATTTTCGTTTCAGGTATAAATAATTCATTGTTGTAGTCGAGGATTAAATACATAAACATTGCATTGATATAAGCGTCGAGTGGCTCACTGCTCGGTGCGATTGACTCGTGATCCGTGGATCCGAGTTCAATCTTACCTGCGCTTACATACGCGATTTTTCGCGTTTAAAATGACTCCATCTATAATCACCAACGCCATTTAGATCCGGCGTTAATAATTTTCGGCAAGATTAGCAGTCTACCGAAGAAGTCAAATGCTCTAAGTATCAAAATAAAGCTTCAGAATCTCAAGAAGTTTCTTAATCTTGGAAAAACAAACTCAAAGCCTATTTCACGAGGAAGAAGAAGAGGAACATTGCATTGTAAACACAGATGTAACGTGTTAATATTTAATTATTGTATATAATAAACATACCAGTAATTAGGAGCAGAGAATACTGTAATACACTTTCCGTCATGTCCCACTTCGTATCCATCGTTTTTAACCTCGTGACTCCTCACGATGTAGTCAAGAGAATTTATACTGAGGAAATTCTGTGTGACATCAGGTCCGAATTGAACACCTACGCCTCTCTTACTGGGCGCCCGGCCCATCTGCGGTTGCGGATCCGACCACAACAGTTCACACATCAATCCCTCGTCAGGTGGTTGTCTGTTTCTGTCAATTTCTCTAATTTCTTGCAACGTCACATTATCTCGTGAAAACAATCCACCATGCATCACCTTGTATAAAATGAATCGTTGTAATTGTATGAAAATTACATTAATTTATGTAAAGTATGTAGGATGACAAATAAATAATAATTTTCTTATTAATTTATAATTGATCGTGGAGTATTAAATGTTGTGAGTAAATATAAATATATGTGTAAATATTGTATAGTACATACACAGTATATAAATATACATGCAAATAGTATGAATATACATATATGACAACTCTTTGAAAAATATTGAACTTACAAGCACTCTACGGTTGAGGCAGTGAGCAAGAGGGAGCCAGTTATAAACCTCTGTAAACAATTCTGCCATCTGTACAGAATACTTAGCTTTAACTTCTCCATCAAATCCATACATTTGGTTCATTGTTGCTGATTCATGATTACCTAAAGATATAAAAAATTCCATGAACATACAAATTCAAATTTTATAATGTTGGATGAAAGACTATGTACCTCTTGACATAAAAAAATGATTTGGATATAATAATTTAAAACCAAATAAAGTGAATATGCATTCTACGGAGAAGGAACCTCTATCTACAAAATCTCCATTAAATAACTGCATTTGCAACTATTAAGAAAAATATATTTTTGGATAATTTTTAATGTTTATATAATATCAACTAAAGTAATTAGCACATTTATAGGTTATTAATAGATTTGCTAATAATAAATTTAATTATATGAATTTCACACTTATATAATATAATTTAGTTTTATGAAGGATACATATGGATTAGTTTCTGATGGTAATCCGTTCAATTTAAATATATTAAGGAGGTCATAGTATTGACCATGTATGTCCCCACAAATAGTGAATTTATTTTCTTCTGGAATCATAATATCCACTAAACTAGGTTGTGCCATAAACCACGATTTAACGTCCAACAGAATTTTGTAAGCGTATTTACGATGCAACTTATTTTGATTTTTATACCACTCTAATAAATCTTTCATGAATTCTAGTGTGACTTTTCCATCAACCAATTTTGGTCCTGTGTATTCACCTTCAATCGCTACAAAAATAATTAATTCAAGCATATTAGTTTTTTTTATTAATTATTAATGTTCAACCACAGACAAGTGCAATTACATAATAAACATATTTTGTCTTTTTTTTAATAAAAATTATGCTACTACAATGAAAGTTTTAAGGCTTCTGTTTATTTATATCTACTATTTTTAAATTGTAATGTCAGAAAAAATACAGATCAAAATTTTTGCAAAATATATAATATAAAAATAATATCATATTTCAAAAAGAAATTAAATCATATTTATATATTTCTATATATTATTAATATATTATTCAGCAATTTATCATAGCTGTGAATATAACTTATTTCATTTTTTATTATATACATTTCATTATATAATTTATTTCCAGATATAAGATTATTAATTAACAAAAAAAAAGTGTTCAGTATATTTTACAAGTCAATTCTATCAACTGCAAATATTGTTTTATTTAAATAAACTTTTATATTAACATATTTTGCAATTTTTTTTCTTGGATATTTTTTCACCTCTGATCACACAATTTGAAATAGTATTATTAAAAAAAAAAAAATAAATTATCTAATATAATAATTAATATTAATAAATAAATCATATTTTATAATTAAAATATATAAATATATATAAACTTCTCTAACAAATAGTATTCTTATTGAGAAATCATATTTATAATAAAAATATAATAATTTATATTTTATAACAATAATTTTCAATCATTTGCAGAAGTAGAAAATATCTTATAGACTGCGGGTTAAAGATTACTGCTTCATAAGATTCAATGAATAAAAAATACTCACCCATATCTTCTAGATTAATCATGTCAGCTATATTCTTTTTATCCTCAACAGAGATTGCCTTGTTAAAAGCTGACACTTTAATCATCTTGCAACATTCCATGTATCTATCTTTTGCATCTTTATCATTGGGTCTAGCTTTTACAACAGTCTTATAATCCATGAGAGCTAATTTGAACTTGCCGAGGGACATATAAGCGGCAGCTCTTCGATAATAGCCCTTGACATAATTTTTATCTAACGTAATGGCTGTGGAAGCGTCCGTTAATGCATATCCAAAGTACTCTGTCTTCAGATAGGCAATACTCCTATTGCCAAAATATATGGCTATTGATGGATTCAATTCTATAGCTTTGGTATATAATTCAATAGCTTTGTCGTATACTTGATCTGAAAAGAAAGAGATGCAACAGTGAATAAATAGGAAACGACAATTGCATTATTGTTTTCTCACTCTTTTGGCATAATACTCTGACATTGTTAACAAAATTACATGACATCGATAACTTTTCTTTTCTCTCAAGATCATAGAAAGCATGGAGGAGAACCTCCCCCGAGTTCCCGGAAGTTCCCGCGTCAAGGGAACCTCGAAAAGAGGAAATCAACGGATTCGGCGTGTCAAATCAAAGCCGTTGAGAAATATTATTTTCTCAACGCTCTCTTTCGCTCTAATTTGACGCGAAGATTTCAACTTACGCGGTCCCCATAATCTCCCGCGGACGCGAGTGTTGGGGGTTAGCTTGGGGCACACGTGACCGTGCGAGACGGCAAAGTGCATTAAATCGGAGCGGAGTGTATTCGGTCTACAATCGCCGCGCGTCTCCACGTGCGAGTGGTTTACGTACTCTTGAAATACTCGTTCGCCTCCTCCTTGAACAATTCCGCTTTGGCTGCGTCTTCCGATGTCGCCGACGGCACCGTCGCGACGTCCCCTTTGCCATTGTCGCCCATCCTCGGCTCTGTGCGTGCGTGCGTTCGTGCGTGCGTGCTTGCGTGCGGGTGGCCGAGCCTCGTCAAGCCTCGTCTGATGCAACCTAACGGCGGCAAACCGACGGGAGATCGAAGTCACTCTCAGAGCCACGCGGTCGCAACGTGCGTAACAAGAGATCGCGCATCGGAGGTGCAGTCAACCGCGTTCCTCTCTCTTTCTTTCTGAGAGTCTGCGCCTCCCGTCCCCGTATCGTATACAACTGCACCGCCACCGTAAACGTTGTGAAGTGTGCTCCAAGCGGTATCACGTGGTATTTACAGTTGATCCCCCTGATCGCCGCTATCTTCCGACCGGTGTCTCGATTAATCGAATTCACTTCGCTATCGATCATTTCTTGTACGCGCGATTAATTTCATTGTAAACAACGGCAATCTTCGACGAATCTTGTCTATTTACATTTCTTCCGTGTATTCACAACTATGTTTATCTATTTTATTATTATCAATCTTTTACGTGTGTACGAAATAAATTATTATTAATTGTTGTTATTAGCAACGGAAGGTGGTATCATAATATAGAGCATGTACGAGCGAATATGATGGATGTATTTCAAATTATTTTTTGAACGAGGAGTGTATGCGGATTCTTAATTCTCTCATATATGTATATGCTATTGAAACAAAATGGTAAAGGTTCTTTTAGTATTTTATTTTTAGTCGCATGAGAGAGAGAGAGAGAGAGCGAGCAATGTAAGTACACTTTATAACCCCATTCTGATTAATTTAAGAATAATTTTGATTAAATTAACTTAATCGATGATTATCAAAGTAACTTCTGTACTATTTCGTTGACATGAATAAAATTATTAATTTTTTAATACATAGAAAAAAATCTAATCAGGGATAACGAAGATATGTTAGAAATTTATTTTGAACAATTTTGTCGTTTGATTAATTCAATTAGCAATCAATTTATCAAGTAATATTTATAATATTGTGATAACATTAATGAAATTATATTTTTTATCGTTTGACTCATGAAAAGAAAGATCAGGTTATGCATAGGTATAAAGTTTGCTGTATTTTTATCAGAGTTCTACAGAATGTCAATCAAGTTAATCATTAATTAATGCCAATTTCCATTAATATAAATTAAAGTTATTAATAATAATAAGACTCAATAATTAAAAACAATATAAATTAAATAGGCTATGAATCTAAAATATAAATTAACTTCATTCAACTTTTCATCGTTTCCTAGTTAAACATAAATTAGAAAAACATGAATAAGTTAAATCAACATTAAAGTTAATTGTAGTGTTGTTAGTGTAATTAATTAAATTAATTACATTTTAATTAAAACCACAATTACCATATATTGTTTTATCATTTAATCTTTATATTAAAATATATTAAAATATTTTTTAATCTATAAAAATTTACAATTGTAGTTTTTTGATCGTCAATGTATATCCATTTTCATGATCCCTAGCACTTTATTGTACACAAGTTGAGGTGCGTCTACAGCCCATAAGAAATCCAAATGGTTGAAATCAGGAAATGGCACTTTATATTCGTCCACAACATTAGGTAACAAACTGATGAGCCTCTTCACATCCTTAAAGAAACAATTTCGTAAGTGATCCCTTTTTTTATATTTCTTAATATAAAGCCTTCTTTTTATATTAATAGTTAAAGAAATTAATCTTTAATATGTATCTTTTTGATCTAAATGTGCTTATCCATTACTTACCGGAATGCTAGACAACCAATCATTTTCGGCGTAGACCATCGCAAAGGGTGTGGTGATGTTCGCGAGATTGTAATCCGGCGGTTCAGGTGTGTTGTAAATTTGTAGATTTTTTGTGCAACCGTAATCGTATTGGCGAAATTTGCCCGAATTATGTCCCTGAGCAAAGTGCACTAATGTTTTGGTCGAAGTACCAGCTGGATAGTTACTTAAAATTGAAGGCATTAAGTTCTAAAAAAAAAAAACATCTGATTTTAAATTGTGATCATGCGAGCGGAATGGTTGTGATCGAAACATTGTTCAGAGATAGAAATATTTTTATCGCGATATTTGAGAAATACTCACAATATTGAACTGCTCTCTGTCAAAACCTAAGATCAGAAACAGCAAATTGGTGCAAATTTTTTCTTGAATAAATGTCATGTCGCAGACGAGCTTGCCCATTAATTGTATTATAAAGCTGTGTGGCAGAAACTCGTCTTCGCCAAGAAAATACAAGAGCCCCTGCAATCGAAATTCTTTTTATCCACGACATAATTTACTTGTAATTCAATCTTACAATGAATATTTGAGAATACATTTGAAGCAATTTTTGAAACGTGGTCTGTACATAAAAGTTCCAAAATCAATTGCTCTCCTTAATTTTAATTGTAACATTTCAGAGAATATTTATTTAAAACTAAATTCAAATTCTTAGTATTATATATCTTCGGAACTTCAAAATCTTAAATTAAAATTCTATTAAAGTAATTATACTTGGGGTTCGGAAACTGAAAAATAATTGTGTTGTCCGTTTAGCTAATACTTCGTTTATACACAATTAATGAAAAAATTATACTAAAAAAGTATCTCAGGATATTCTTTGTATAGTCTAAAATCATAAAATATAAATGATAAATGTAACTACTTATACATTGAACGTTAATGTTTTAAATTACTATTTGTCATAAAAATTTATCTTTTTTAAGAATATTTTCGTATGACTTTACCTCAATATTTTCCGCGAAAGGAGTGAGAAACCGTATAGGACTTTTTATATGATTCAAAAAAGCTGTAGGCGCGAGACTGATTATTAATCGCACCATTTGAGCGATTTCCGGACGTTCCGCTGCCATCACGTAAGAAGCTGTTGTGCCCATTGAATGACCGATGTATGTGTGCAATGGTTGCGATGTTATATTCGTAATATATAAGATCATCGCGGGTAGATCGTAAACGCCCATTTCATGAAAGCTAAAAAATAAATTGATATATTACGGAATATAACAAAATATATCATTACATAGTATTATAGTGTAGAACTAATTTAATCGATTTTTTTATCATACTAGCACTTCCTATGCGCGCGCTGTTCCACTTATTTATGGTTTTTTTTTCTAACATTTAATAATTTAATGTTACGTAATAAACACGGACTTGGACCTATCCGTAACTGAAATCGATTTCCTGGGCCTCTAATTCTTGATAAGAAACGTTTACAAAAGTCTATATAGGGAAATATTATAGTATACATTACATATACTATAGTATTTTCCTTGACTGACGTATACGTTTCTTTTCAATAATAGAGACCCTGACCGTTTTATATTTCTGTCCGTGTCTCTACTTGTATGTTTTTTTTTTTTTACAAATTTAGTTAATATTATTTTTCTTTCATATAATTCTTTTGTATAATAATCTTTTTTTGTACTTTTGTTTTATTAATTTTTTATATTTTACTATTAGAAAGTATTTTTTTAATTTTCTAAATTAATTAATTATACTCTCTCTTCATTAGTCCTGTTTTTCGAAATACAATTATTTGATGGGTTTTTACTGTTTATTATAAATTTTATTATTCATTGATTATTCATTTACGATATACAAATATTTCTTTACATTTATAAATATAATTGAAAAAAAAATTATTTATAAATATAATTTTAATATTTTTTTAA